CTCCACTGAAGCTTCCTCTCTCATTAAGCGTGACCCAAGACTCCACAAAGTTGGCTACTGCATCTTTCACAAGAGTTGCTCACGGTTCCAGAATGCGCAACATGGACGCAAGAGTAGGAATTAAATATTGCCTCGCAACTGTAACAGCATACCTCATTCCAACCCGATTTTACCCGTTTACAATGTCTGAACCAATCTTAATCAAAGCAAATAAATAAATAAGCACTTGAGTTTCTATGTAAATAGATTCGTCTCGTCATTCCATAATTTTGTGCCGTAACATACAATCCTAAGTTAAACAAACCTGCGTACATAGTACAACCAAGTAAAATAAAATAATACATATATATATATTTGCTTAAGTTTTGTGATTTCATGATTATTTCCTTTGGGAAATTCAGCAATACAAATGCATTTCCTAACAAAAAAAACTAAAATTGTAGAAAGCACGCAAGCAGGCAAAGTCAAACGAGATATCAATGGTAGGGGTAATAGCTTCCGTTCTTAACACTGAAAGCAACGTACATATACAAATGTCCACATGTCACCCTGGGAGTGGAGTTTCATGAAATGATCTTATTTTAATGTTCATTGAAGTGAAAGAAATATTAGGAATATGTTTTAAATCATTATAGGCTTAAACTGAGTCCCTCAAAATAAGTTGCAGAGCATAAAATTTTATACAAACTCGAAATTGTATAGATTAGATATACAGAGTGTTTAGCTGATTGTGAAAGTGGGCGAAGAAACTGAATTAAACCCACCTGCGTTCAAAAGTTCATGAAATGGACCCATTTAAATTGAAATTATTCATGAGTTGGGGCTAAGCGAATTTATCAAGCTTTTCTGCCTGCATTGTGAAAAGGATTATCCATTAAATCTTAATTGAGGTAGCTATTTTCGTTGTATTTTTTGACTACCAAAAAAGAGCTTGGTAAACGTGCATTTCAGATTGCCTAACACATTTATAACAATATAATAGTTGCCACCTGACTATCAACGCATACTACGAAACCATCCATCACATACTTTACGACGCGAAGAGTAATGGAATAAACGAAAGCAAGGAAGTTGAATGTAAGAGCTTAAAGTAAGCACTCAGCATCTGTGAGATATGAATAGATATGTGAGAATCTAATAACCTGGCTATGAAAGATACTATGTGTAAACTCTGCTTTAAAATAATAAAAATTAAAATAAAATAAAATAAAATAAAATAAAATTATATCAAATAAAATAAAATAAAATAAAATAAAATAAAATAAAATAAAATAAAATAAAATAAAATAAAATAAAATAAAATAAAATAAAATAAAATAAAATAAAATAAAATAAAATAAAATAAAATAAAATAAAATAAAATAAAATAAAATAAAATAAAAAAACAAAATAAAATAAAAAAGCAAAATTAAATAACATAAAATAAAATTAAATTAATTTAATTTAAATAAAATAAAATAATATAAAATAAACTAATAAAGAGTGATTGCTTAGCTATTATCTTTTTGGCAACACTGGTTTAAGCAGCTCACGTACGTTTCGTATCAAGCATCTTCAGCTTGGTCTATAGTTTATCCATGAAGCGCTTAGAAAGTTCTACGCTAGCTTTTTCCATTTTATCACTAAGTTCATTTTTGGCTAAATAGGTGCGTAAATAAGTAAAATTGTTGATTTTGGAGTGAAGATCAGCCAGAAGTATTGCAAGAACGGCTAATGCATCCTATGCTACCAATAATTGTGAATGGGGAGCGCTGCCGTGAGATGATATCAAACTTTTTTTGCCCGGAATGCAAGAGCATATTTTGCATGACCTGTGGTTCCAACAACACGGTGCCACATGCCTTACAACATCCGTAACAATGGCCTTATTTAGAGGCGAGTTCGGTGAATATTTCATTTCACGTTCGGACCGGTCTACAGGGCGACTAGATCGTGCGATTTAACGCCTTAAGACTAGTTTTTGGAGGGCTGTGTTAAGTCTTGTGTTGCATAAAATAATCTTCAAACATTGAATTATATAGACCGTACTAAGGATTCAATTAAAGATTTTAAGCATTTTTTTTTTTAAACTTTTTCTATAACTTTTAAGAAATAACCCTTTCCAATGTAATATAATATATTGTACTTTAATAAAATGAGATATAATACAAAAAAGCAAATTAAAATAAAATAGCTTAGAATAAATATGGGGTGTCCTATTATTTAATATCTTTAATTGGATACCCTTACAAACAAAAAGCATACTTTCAGGATTGCATCCTTTAAGTACTATTTCAGATCGAAAAATGCTGATATATAAGCTTCTTACTGCAGAAATATGAAAATGTTATACATATCCTGTATATATATCTCAATACAGTGGAGCCACCCTTTATGGGCTTTTTGTGCACCATCACTTGCTTACATTTTCACAAGTGCTAGACTTTATTCTTGAGGATGTGATTGTGCGGGTTTAAACAGTTTTTTTTTTTTAGTTTTTTTGCGCGAAAAGAAAACACCGAACATACAGACACATAAACATATAAAAATTTGAGCATATAACAATGACTGTCGAACATTTGGCACATGTGCAGCCAATAACAACAATAAATGTGTTTTATACTTTTTGTTCCTTTAAACTCACCTCATTTTCCGTCTTTACATACAGTGAACTACTAAAAAAACACACATACAAGTATATGTTTGTATATTACGCGTATAAATCTACATATATTGAAGAAATATATGAATTATGCAAAGATATTTCAGCCTGAGAATTGTAGTCCGTTCATTTATGTATGTGTATGTATGAGGAGCAACTTTCTCATACATCCATCCATTCTTGTAAAACAAAAATTTAAATAACTATTTTTGAGATAATGCATACATACCACACGATACGCGTATAAGACACTTGAAAACATTACTACAATTCCTAATATTCTCAGGAGAATAACGGCACAATTTAATGCATAACTAAATACATGTGCATACATACAGACATGTTTGGTTTGATAAATATGAAGCCATCAGTTTACATTTTTACATTCCGAAAAGTATGTACCATACAACTTATATATTAACACGCATTTCATGGCTTTAAATGTAAATAGGGACTTTGCCCTCGAAAGCCGTTTAATGTATGTGTGTATGGGCGTTACAGTTCTAAAGAGAAACAAACAATGTAAAGACAAATAAAAGATTTCGCATACATTTAATGTTGTCATTGTTGCTATTATTTTTGTAGATACTTTCATACTACCCAGCTTCAGCTCTTCCTCATTTTACTATGTATTTAATTTATATACATACATAGGTACATACCTTTAGTTGAAGTTTTTTTTCTTTTGTATATTGTAATTTACGCACGCTTACGAGGTGCCTGTAGAAAATTCACCACACTTCATATGTATATGTATACGTAAAGAGTACAACATAACGGAAATTACAAGCGTACAAAAGATTTGATACTTAACAGTTTTGACGTCATCCCTGTGCTCAGAGCCAAAAGCTTTGAGCGTGATACAAGTGAGAGAGATGAAAGAAAGAGAGTGTTTCTAAGTAAAGAAATAAAGCTCATTTAAGAAGAAACATTAAGCTGAACTCCATGAAAACTGCGAGCAAAAAATTTAAAAGACGCTTGAAACTGATATTAACCACGTAGCATCAAGTAACACAAAAAATAGTAGACTAATGTCTAGCAGCCGGTATAGCCGAGTCGCTAGTACTATGTACTGTTCTACCTAGAGCGATGGTTTGAGTCCCACTTATACCAACATTCAAAATCATAGAGAAAGTATAAAGCTACCCAGATGTACTGATGACGATTTGAAACTCCTCTTAAAAGAAATCAGTCGTTCGCAGACGGTTTAGAGTGAACTGTGGGTCAATACTTCTCAGTGAAAACATCAAGACATATCATATTTATTAATATATATAATATCTAGTTGACCATGGCAAGGGTACAGAAAATTTAACCTCGTTAAACTGAACACGTTCAGAACAAACTCTAAAAATAAAATATTTTTGAGAGTAGTAGAATACAGAAAAATGCAAAATCTGGGTCTTACAACTAGGAATAAAATAGTTTTCTACGGAATTACTATTGTCACTTTTATTTCAAAGCAAATTTTGTAGTGTCGACAGCTCATTAGAAGTTGACTATAGGAAGATTCATCATGATTTCTTCTCTCAGCCTCGACAGTTGATACAGTAGATTTGGCTGTAACGTTACCAGCCCACTTTTGGTGATTCATAAATTATTTTTAGAATGCGTGCTGTATAACTACAATAATTATTTTAAAAAATTAAAAGGGAAGGTAAAATAAAAATGAAAATTATAAGTCATTAAAAAATTTACCACCTTGTACATTTATACTCACTACACAAACTTTAAAAGTCCCAAAAATTTTTTGTATATCACTAATTTTTAAAGGTCATCCAAATTAACTACTCAGCCTTTGTGTGTATGCGTGTGCCAATATGTAATCTAGGAATGTTCCAATTAAAAAGTTTCCTCATCAGCCATTAACAGTTTCATGAAATCTCACTATACTAAACACTTACACTGCTATTATATGTTCTTTTTTCTTTTGCGGTGCTTTTCGGTTCTTTTTTTATCAATGTTTCTCTTTCCTCTTTTTTCTATTTGCGAATTTCTCCTTCTTTGTTCATTGTCAGCCAAACAGTATTTGCTCTCAGTAACACACATTATATGCCCTCGCTAATAAACCATGTGCTCTGTTAAACGTCATTGAATCCTTTTACACCTGGGCACAGCAGCTGAAATTTGGATCGATGTAAAGAATACAAAAGACGTGAAATATACGATATGTAAACAAAAACGCGTGTGTAACTGAGTATACACGTGTTCCAGGATACATTAGTATTTTTGCCGCCACTGCTATTCGGCTGGAGCCCGAATTAAAGCTTTCCGCTACACAAAGAGAGTGTGGTGAATTTCGCTTGCTTGCCTATAAAAGCAGAAACACAGCGCGTCGGTCGCTCAGTTCTAATTCACATGCTGTACCTATAACTTCGCTAATAATTGGGTGTAGAAAAATAAGTAAACTAAGAAAGTAGTTATATTTTATTTTTCATATATGCAAAAAATTGTATAAATTCATTTAAAAAAAAGTAAATATGTGTTTAAAATAAATCAAATGAAAATAAAATAACCAGTTTCAAAGCACAAAACTGACTTAAACCGGTTATAAAAGAGGAAATAAATAGTATTTAATTTTTTTTCCAGCTAAAAGTTTAGATATCGAGTTAAAAAATAAGTACATATGTATACGTTTGTGTATTTAAATATTTAAAGTTCCATATAAAATATAAATTTACTATTCCAACCTAAGAATCTGCCTGTTTACCATTCCGCGAACAAATGTGTAGCCTACATCTAGGCGTTCAAGTAGAATATGCCTTTAAAGTGTTGATACAATTTGGCTACTTTACTTTGTAACAGTTGGCGCGCTTACGTATGCGCGCTTATGTTTAAATGTGTGTGCGAATACATTAAAACTTTATTAGTAAAACATTGGATGTGAAATTTTATATATATATATATATATATTGAGCGTGTTGTTCAAGACACTTTCAGGTGATGTGCAAAACTAACAAAATACATTTTATTCCTCACGATAAATCCAGTTTCACCATCATCTCAATCAAGAAAAAAAGAAAATAAAAGCGCAAAGTGCATAGAAGTAAGAAGTACATTCATATTTTCGCTTGTTTAACGTAGAAACGTGCATAAATTTATTGTTTGTGGAAGAAGCGAATTTTTTGGTGAAAACAAAATTGTAACCATCAATTTCAAGAGCGATATATAACAGCGACAAGATATTATGTTAATGAATTAAATGGATTTTTAAGGTAAGCTGGAAAAACAAGCAAATGAGCTCAGCTCTTATATACTCGTAAGTTAAGCGAAAAAAATATAATAATATTATTTACATCTGGATCATATTTATGTACGCAAAATATTTTCCCTTCAAATATGCAGAGCGTTAAAGTAACTGAGACAATAATAAGAGTATAAGTATAAAGAAATTTTATTCCCTAGTGTAATAGCAGATAAATCATACTTAAGTCAGCCACCCATCTGTTTCGAAGCACTTTATTTTACAAATTCAACTTGAATTTGTGTTAGAGAGAGTTAACAATGCGTTAGTATTATATTTAAGTTGAATTGAAGTATACAAAAGTTTCCAAAGCTGTTTGTATTTGTAAAATGTAGAAAAGGTGATATATCACTAATAATATAGTCATTAATTTAATGGTTTATATAATTTGTTGTTAAAAAACTGTAAATTTATTAAAAAGGAAAATTTGAATTTAGCTGACGGGATGATTTTTCCAAAATATTTTCATTTTAGCGTTATGCACAGATGTACTTTCAGCCTTTACTTTCGTTACTTAGAGGCGTTAATCACTCAGATATAGTCATTAAATTATTGATAAATCCACGTTCGTGTTCTATCACAGTATCGAATTTGAATAAAAGCTTTGAATGAAAGCTAAAAAAAAATCACATTCTTTCTATTGGCATTATTTGCAAAAAGAAACAATACTTATATGTTATAAAAATGAATTAAAAAAACATTAACAAAAATCCTAATATCTATCACTAATTAGAGCAGATGGATAATCGTTTGCCGTGGCGTATGCGTAACTTTTTGTAATGCAAAATTATTCTGCGTTGTCTCCATATATGTATGTATATATACTACACAGGTTAAATTATTACTTTTGACGGCAGTATTTTTCAGTAGGATTTAATTAGGATCTTTACAGTAACATTTATATCCATCCTTACAGCTATTTAACGTTTAAAATGTTTGTGATGGCTTTGGCAAAAAATTCACTTTACGCCAATTTAATTATAATGAAAAATGTCATATTACATGCCGAAAAATTACATGTGTAACACATTTTTGACTATTTTAGTCAATGGTCCACTTAATTCGAGTTAGTTTTGTAAAAAATTAAAAATAAACAACAGCTTCTTGCGAACAAATTTGAAAGTAGAGAAGAATATATGGTTAATATTTTCGATCACGTTTCAATTTTTGGTGTAACTATATTTTCAAATCTAAATAATATTTCAACTTTTAGAATAGTAGGATATTGATAGTGTTACAGAGTGCGAGTGCACGTTAGTTTTACTGGACAGTTATTTTTTTATTATTTTTTTGAAAAAAGTTTTTCAGTAGCTTATATATTCCGTGTGTAGATGAAAGAAAATGTATAAATAATGGAAGCTAACGCCTGACTTATATTTCTCTCTATACTCTCTATCTCTCTCAGTGTGATGTTGTCTTCGAAAATAAAAAAACAGATGATTTTTTTATAAGAGAAAAATATTTTTGGAAACAACGCCCATAAATGCTGTAAATAATTGGCTTTTCATTTTATAATTCTTGCACAAAATCAACCATTTTTTCTTTTTTTGTTGGGCTTAAACAGTGCATGACTACGTTTTTATTTAGCATTTTAGTGCTTCATAGCACATTTGGCAATTGGATAAGGTAGTGACCTGAAGCAGGGAAAAAATCCCAGATCTCTTATACAATATATTAAAAAAAAATCTCTCTGTGAACATTCGTTAATTCTTATTTTTACCCGTACCAAACAAGGAGTTTAGAAGCTAATTTTGGCATCTATTTGAATTTAACTTTCCCATCCCGGCTGACGCGAAAATTGCACTCATACAATAAAAGTCTTACGGCGAATTTGTAAATTCGTTGACATATATCTGTAGTTAATGGGGCAAAAAAATAATTTTTTCTTAATAGATAATATTTTCTCAAAACTCGTTTCTTTTGCGTATTAGATAGCGAATTAAAATAGTCCAAAATTTCAAAATTTTATCCTGAAAATTTAAACAATATTTGTGTTGGTCCTTGTGTTCTGTTAGCTCAACAAATTTGGCCTAAATCTCGTAATTAATCTTGGTATAAAGTCACATTCAACAATGGTGGTAGCAAACATATACCTATGTATGCACATTCATAGCTCATATCCCACTTACATAGTTACGTATGTATGTACACGTATGCAAGCATGTGTCAACAATAAGGTTAGCAGTAAAGTGCAATTTGTGCCTTGCCAATCATACAAACCCTTATTCATGTATATACAAATGCATATATGTATTCAAACAATGGTTACAGTAATATTTTTGATGTATGCATATATTTTTTTTTTTTTTTTTTTTTTTTTGTAGTCTAAGCTTAGTTGCACAAACTAAAAAGGTTAAATGGGTAGAAAATAAACACATGTTCATATTTGTATGCAGACGTGAAAGTGCTCATCCATTCAATCCCCAGTTGGTGCCACGAGCAACTGGAGGACAAACAAATGGCCTAACATTGCAGTAACAAAGAAAGTTGGTTTACATTGTCGGTTGCCTTCAGGATATAAATAGTACATTTTAACTTGTTCACATACGTACTTAGATACATAGGAATAAAGGCCGACAAACATACGCGCATAAATACTCGTAAATTCAGTCGCAGCAGCCAAATAATGTTGGAGCTTTATCAGCTGACAAAAAATTGTTCTAAATTAAGAAATTTATGCTTACTTTGTACGTTTAAATATGCGTAGTTTATAGAAGTACACAAATATTGCATTTAAATTGAATAAAAACTTAAACTAAAAACACTACGACATGAGTGAAAATACAATAGAATTTAAGGCAAATTATCACAGGTCCCAAGACCTCCTGAGGTCAGTACTGTTGGAGAGCTTTACTAGCTCTATCTTTTATATCAGTATGTACATACTTAAAAACGTAAATTTAGAACTATAATAGCTTTGCCAAAAAATTTCGTTTAGCTAATAATAATGGACGTTATTACCTAGGGTAGTGTTTTGCTGTGCTATGCACTCTATGTTGATTACTGCAGGCATTCCAACAAGCGAAAAACTAATAACCTCAAAATTAGTAAACGAAACAACTATTTTTTGACGGAGCAAGTGCCCAATCAAAGCCATAAATACAGTAAGAAACCATTAAATACTCGTAGGAAAGTAAGAGTGACACCACCGTAAAAGTGAAGGAGCAAAAACAAAAGCACATCACATTCACTCAAAAGATAGAAACATACTCCATACTGATACTAAAGAACGTAATTATCCGCCAAGTGTACAAAAATTCCTTGGTATCCTCCTAGATAGAAGACTGACCGAGAAGATCTATATTCTTAATAAAATAGAACTCAAAACTTACTGCATAAACAGATTATTAGTCAAAAGCTCAGGTTTAAGTTTGGAACATAAAATCCTTTTATATTCCTCAGTCATAAAGCCAAGCTGGATGTAGAGAATGCAATTATAAAGCTCTGCTTGCGTAACAAGTATCCGTAAGAATAGAAAAGACTGTACAACCAGAAAATAAAAAGGACCATGAAATACTTATGAAGAGCGCATAAGTCACGAATACCTGAAAAAAAGCCCTCGAAACTACAAAATTATTTAGCGCAAGTTTTAATCTGGCCAGCAAGTCAAACACGCCAGCCAGTCTTCTGAAACGTTATATTTTTACTTATACTACTAATCAAGTTCGCTAACTACTAATATTCTAAAATTTATTGTTGTGTTTAAATTAAGCAGATCCAATAAAAAAATTTTAAAGCGACTTATAAAACGGAGTTAAATAAGCGAACAAAATTGTATTCTACTTTGAATGCGATACCACAAATCTGAATGAATAATACATATTTTATGTGTATGTCTGATTACCTCTTATAAAGAATTCAAGCATCCATTAAGTACAGAAATTTTTGAAAAATACTAGATAAATAAAAACCAAGAAAGTTTTTTATAGCAGATTTTTTTATAATAAACTAAGTGAGAATAAATCAACTGAATTGAAGGTTCTTGTTATATTCTGAATATTAATTAATATTATATTTTACACCGATATGGAACTTAATAGGTTTTACTTATTGTTATATCTCCAATTTTTGAAACTTATCTATATTTATTACTGATTCATTTGTTTTTCACTCATTTCTCCATTATTAGGCTCATATTGCCATCAATATGGTATAATTTTTGCTCCAGCTGTTTACGACCATCAGAAAAAATTGTAAATATTGCATATATGTACATATGTGCGCATAAACAAAAGACTTGTGTGTAATAAAAATGCAGTTAAATATGCTCTTTTATTAAAATTGTTTGTGCATTTTTATATATGGTGCGGCAATTCTGACTTTACGTCGCACGTTTTAATCAATACGCCGCAATGTAGGCAACACTTTTTGTCTTTTTGAATACCTCCAGGTACTGCTGGTCTTTACGGTAATTTAAAGCAAACAGATTTTCTTTGCTTCTAATAATATAAATAATTAACATTATTTTAAAAAGTAAAGGTTTCAATAAATGTGATGTAAATTCTCACAGCAAAGGAATATGTGGCATATTTGAATTAAATATGATAAGATCTAAGATCTATTTTATAATTCTCTATTTCTCGCCATTACTTGCCTTACATGCCATCTGGTGGCAGATATGAAACTGAAAAACCATTTGCGGAAGAGAACAATCTTTATTTAAGTCACAAAATATACTTTCTTTCACAATTTCAAGCCACTAATTAGTTTAGTTTTCATGTCGGCCACCAAGGAGACCAGCACATGCTTTTCCACTCTACATAACATGTGTTGAGCGCGATGCAATTATCTTACCACGCTCATACAATTGATTTCTTTGACTATACAAACGAGTATACATAGAAGAAGAAGCATTTGTTGACTATAATCCAAATAGTTTGCAACTTTCCACTAACCAATAACTATTTCTCATACAACCAACCGTTGTGATGTCCTAGAAACTGTCATATGTGTTTTGAATGTACTTCACCA